TTATGATATATTGTGTTATTATCATGCTATATTATATTATTAATGTGTTATTATAACACAATAATACTGTATTATATTATTTTAAAGTTATATTATTATATATATATATTATTATTATCCTATTATGATATATTGTGTTATTATCATGCTATACTATATTATTAATGTGTTATTATAACACAATAATACTGTATTATATTATTTTAAAGTTATATTATTATATATATATATTATTATTATTACCCTATTATGATATATTGTGTTATTATCATGATATATCATATTATTAATGTGTTATTATAACACAATAATACTGTATTATATTATTTTAAAGTTATATTATTATTATTATATATATATTATTATTATCCTATTATGATATATTGTGTTATTATCATACTATACTATATTATTATTGTATTATTATTGTGTTACTATGTATCTTAGTAGCTAAGAGTCTAATCTGGAACTTTAGTTGTGTGAGTATCAATGCACACCAGGCAGGACCTTCCTTATCTGCTCGACGGTTGATCTAAATCACTGCTTCAAAATACTGTATTATATTATTTTAAAGTATTATTATAATATATATGATTACTCTCCTAGTATGATATATTGTATTATTATCCTACCATACTATATTATTATTGTGTTATTATTGTGTTACTATGTACCTTAGTCTCTAAGAGTCTAATCTGGAGCTTTAGTTGTGTGTCAATGCTCACCAGGCATTATATATTACCACCATAAGCACCATGAAGTTTTTAATTAGAGGTTGTATGGCCATCTGTTGGGAGAGCTTTGATGGTGTCTTCCTGCCTGGCAAAATAAGGTTGCACTGGATGGATGCTACAATTTCTCTATTTCCTCCTTGGCTTCTCTAGATCGGCCTCCACCTTTGGAGCCAAGCCCAGTGTTTGGAGAACTGGCTGTTCATTGTAACGTTGACTCCTCTCTCTCCTTGCTCTCAATCAGCTTTTGTGTAATATTTGCCCTCCGTGACTACGGTATCTTTCAAGGAGATAAAAGGCAACCTCTCTGTTGCGTTCTGCTATTGTCTGCCCCACACATATCATACAACTCGAGTTGCTTCTCCCCAAGACAAGGCACAATCGGAATACAGCAAAGCAGATCCCATGATGTGTCCTATGGGATACTCTGCCCACATATCTGTGTCTTGGATTCATCACTGAGCCTGGAACCCCAGGTCTCGGCGAGCATTTGCACCGTTAAAACTTGTATGCCAGCTGCGTCCGTACCTTGGGAAGTCTGACTTGGCCACGGTAGTCCACGCTCTGGTTACATCCTGTATAGACTACTGTAACGCACTCTATGTGGGGTTGCCCTTGAAGACTGTTCAGAAGCTGCAAATGGTCCAATGTGCGGCAGCCAGGTTGCTACATGGGAACACACAACTCCCATGTTACGCCAGCTCCACTGGCTGCCAATCCTCTACCAAGCACAATTCAAAGTGCTCGCTTTAGCCTATAAAACCTTAAACGGTTTCAGTCCAACTTGCCTATCCAAACGTATCTCTCCTTATGAACCATCTAGGACCTTAAGATCATCCTGGGGAGGCCCTGCTCTCGTTACCACCTTCGTCACAAGTACGTTTGGCGGAGACGAGAGACAGAGCCTTCTCGGCAATAGCCCCTCGGCTGTGGAATGCCCTCCCTATAGATCAGTGTTTCTCAACCTGGGGGTTGGGACCTCTGGGTGGGTTGCGAGGGGGTGTCAAAGGGGTCACCAAAGACCATCAGAAAACATAATATTTTCTTTTGATCACGAGGGTTCTGTGTGGGAAGTTAGTCCCAGTTCTGTCGTTGGTGGGGTTCAGAATGTTCCTTGATTGTAGGTGAACTATAAATCCCAGTAACTACAACTCTCAAATGTCAAGGTCTACCCAAACTCCATCTGTGTTTATATTTGGGCATATTGAGTATCCGTGCCAAGTTTGGTCCAGATCCATCATTGTTTGAGTCCATTGTTTGAGTCTCTGGATGTAGGTGAACTACAACTCCCAAACTCAACGTCAATAACCACCAAAGTCTTCTAGTGTTTTCTGTTGGTCATGGGAGTCCTGTATGCCCTGGCTGGTTCGATTCTATCATGCTATTTGATTGTAGGTGAACTATAAATCCCAACAACTACAACTCCCTATCTATCTATCTATCTATCTATCTATCTATCTATCTATATCTATCTATCTATCTATCTATCTTATCTATATCTATGGCTGGATGGCTCTTCATCAGGAGGACTTTGATTACGTTTTCTTGCCCTGATGAAGGGAGTTGGATTGGATGGCCTTCAGTATTTTCTATTGGTCAGGAGGGTTCTGTGTGGGAAGTTTGCCCTGATTCTGTCATTCGTGAAGTTCAGAACGCTCTTTGATTGTAGGTGAACTATAAATCCCAGCAACTACAACTCCAAATGTCAAGGTCTATTTTCCCTAAACTCCATTTGTGTTCATATTTGAGCGTGTTGAGTATTCGTGACAAGTTTGGTCCAGATCCATTATTGTTTGAGTCCACAGTGCTCTCTGGATGTAGGTGAACTACAACTCCCAAACTCAAGGTCAATACCCACCAAACTCTTCCAGTGTTTTCGTTCGGTCATGGGAGTCCTGTATGCCACGTTTGGTTCAATTCCATCATTGGTGGAGTTCAGAATGCTCTTTGATTGTAAGTAAATTATAAATCCCAGCAACTACAATTCCCAAATGACAAAATCATAATTTTTTGAGTGATGGTCACTCCTTGTCTTGTGAGATGTTTTGTTGCCAAATTTGGTGTGATTTCGTTCATGGGTTCTTTTGTTTTTAAGGTACTCATTGCGCACAGAGCATATAGATAGATAGATAGATAGATAGATAGATAGATAGATAGATAGATAGATAGATAGATAGACAGACAGACAGACAGACAGACAGACAGACAGAGATGTTAATGCTTTTAATAATTTTAATGATTGTCATACTTTTAATTGTTATGACTCAACAGTCATAACAATTAAAAGTGTGACATCGAATCGTTGCAATTTGTAAACCGCTCCGAGTCGCCTTGGTAGCTGATTAAATGTCCTTTGACCAGTAGCTGGCCACTTGGAGTGCCTCTGGTGTTGCCGCAAGAAGGTCCTCCATTGTGCATGTGGCAGGGCTCAGGTTGCATTGCAGCAGGTGGTCAGTGGTTTGCTCTTCTCCACACTCGCATGTCGTGGATTCCACTTTGTGGCCCCATTTCTGAAGATTGGCTCTGCATCTCGTGGTGCCAGAGCGCAGTCTGTTCAGCGCCTTCCAAGTCGCCCAGTCTTCTGTGTGCCCAGGGGGGAGTCTCTCATTTGGTATCAGCCATTGGTTGAGGTTCTGGGTTTGAGCCTGCCACTTTTGGACTCTCGCTTGCTGAGATGTTCCAGCGAGTGTCTCTGTAGATCTTAGAAAACTATTTCTTGATTTAAGTCGTTGATGTGCTGGCTGATACCCAAACAGGGGATGAGCTGGAGATGTCTCTGCCTTGGTCCTTTCACTATTCATTCACTCCTAGAATCAGAGTTGGAAGAGACCTCATGGGCCATCCAGTCCAACCCCATTCTGCCAAGAAGCAGGAATATTGCATTCAAATCACCCCTGACAGATGGCCATCCAGCCCGTTTAAAAGCTTCCAAAGAAGGAGCCTCCACCACACTCCGGGGCAGAGAGTTCCACTGCTGAACGGCTCTCACAGTCAGGAAGTTCTTCCTCATGTTCAGATGGAATCTCCTCTCTTGTAGTTTGAAGCCATTGTTTCGTGTCCTAGTCTCCAGGAAGCAGAAAACAAGCTTGCTCCCTCCTCCCTGTGGCTTCCTCTCACATATTCATACATGGCTATCATATTCCCTCTCAGCCTTCTCTTCTTCAGGCTAAACATGCCCAGCTCCTTAAGCCGCTCCTCATAGGGCTTGTTCTCCAGTCCTTTATTGGCTGCTACTTCCCGGCGGATGGCAGGTGGTGCAATGTAACAGTGCAATTTCTCCAGTGGTGACACCCCGTAATAATGAGCCACATCCACTGTTTTAGCGTGGTGAGATGTGTTCCACACTGGGCATGCATACTCAGCAGCAGAGTAGCACAGCGCAAGGGCAGATGTCTTCACTGTATCTGGTTGCAATCCCCAGGTTGTGCCAGTTAGCTTTCATAGGATATTGTTTCTAGCACCCACTTTTTGCTTGATGTTCACGCAGTGCTTCTTGTAGGTCAGAGAACGGTCCAGAGTGACTCCCAGGTATTTGGGTGCGCTGCAATGCTCCAGTGGGATTCCTTCCCAGGTAATCCTCAGAGCTCGGGATGCTTGTCTGTTCTTAAGGTGAAAGGCACATGTCTGTGTTTTAGATGGATTAGGGATCAGCTGGTTTTCCCTGTAATAGGGAATCTAGAGCTTTGGAGAGCTTCTGTTCAACCATCTCAAAGCTCCCTGCTTGAGTGGTGATGTCATGATCATCAGCATAGATGAAGCTCTCTGTCCCTTCTGGCAGTGGCTGGTTATTTGTGTAGATGTGAACATGGATGGAGCAAGCACGCTCCCCTGAGGCAGGCCATTCTTCTGTTTCCGCCATCTGCTTCTCTGGCCCTGGAACTCAACGAAAAAGCTCCTGTTTTGTAGCAGGTTTCCTATGAGGCGGGTGAGGTGGTTGTCCTTTGTGATACTATACATTTTTCTCAGGAGGAGGCGGTGGTTCACAATATCATAAGCCACTGACAGGTCTATGAAGACAGCTCCTGTGATCTGCTGCCTTTCAAAGCCATCTTCTGTGTGCTGAATCAAGTTCCGGGCTGAGAGGGGAGGTAGATAAATATGGTAAATAAATAAATATTAGAAATCCATCATTGGCTTAGTAATGGCCACTTTCATTTCTTTCCTATGGCACACATATATTTTGTTGAAGAACGATGACTTCGCTCAGCCTAGCTTCCTGTAAACGGCAACTAGCAATGAGTCTAAAGTTTCGATTCCTCTTTCCATTAGGACCCTGCTGTCATCCAGCACAGGCCCACTTCGGAATATGCCACTCTGGACGTCTACAATCCGTTTGACAAACCCGGAGTAAGTACGTCACTCCATCGGAAATATGTGTAAAGAAGAGAACGAGAAACTACTTATTAATCTTGCAAAAAGGAATCTTAGAATCTCGGAATTGGAAGACCACAGGGCTATCAGATCCCAAAAACTTCTGCCAGGCAGAAAGAACACCATCAAAGCCCTCCAGACAGATGGCAGTCCGCTCTACTTAAAAACAGGAACTGTAAATGAGTTGTCAAAGGCCTTCATGGCTGGAATCACTGAATTGCTGCATGTTTTAAGGCCTGTATGGCGATGTTCCAGTAGCATTCTCTCCGGATGTTTTGCCTGCATCTGTGGCACTTAAGACCTGGCTTTTTACTAGAGCATTCAATCTCTGTTAATTTTTAAATTCTGTATGTATGTATTTTATCTTTTACAATTTAGCTGTAAATCGCCTAGAGCATTCTCAGATGGAGGGCGATTAATAAGTAATTAAATATGATGATGATGAACTATCTTCAGAAGTGTGTTGAAGCTTAAACCAGACAAGACAAAGGTCCTCATGGTCAGTCGTGGGGCCAACCTAGGTATTGGGTGGCAACCTCTGCTGGACGGGGTTACACTCCCCCTGAAGGCGCAGGTGCGTAGCTTGGGGGTCCTCCAAGCATCTTGTCTCCTGCACTGTGCTTATAATTAATATAATATAATATCTATATAAGTAAAAATGTTGGAGTGAGCTTCTGAACAATTTGTGTAGCTTGCTGTCGACCTTTGCAGCCCGAAAAACAGTTGCCTCTGTCAATTAGGAAATGTAGGTACCGCTTATGTGGGGAGGCTAATTTACGACGCCATAAAAATCTCCAGCAAGCATGCAAAGAATGAGGAAGTACTTCCTCAGTGTCACAAATGGACGGTGAAGCGACAGCTCCCCTGGTGGCCAGAATACCCTCATGAAAAAGCTGGAATGTTAAATAGCCTCTGAGTATCTGTCTAGATGTAACTATGTAATGAGAGCATGGACCACCGTGGCCAAGTCTGACTTCCAAGGTACGGATGCAGCTGGCACACAAGTTTTAGTTGTGCGAACGCTCCCCTGGCCACCGCTGCAACCTGGGATTCCAGGCTCAGTGATGAGTCCAGGAGGACCCCCAAGCTGTGAACCTGTGCCTTCAAGGGGAGTGTAACCCCATCCAGCACAGGTTGTGACCCTACACCCTGTTCGGCCTTCAACTGACCAGGAGGACCTCTGTCTTGTCTGGAGTCAACTTCAATTTGCTTGCCCTCATCCAGACCGTCACAGTGGCCAAGTTCAGGACTTGGACAGCCTCCTTAGCATCTGGTGGAAATGAGTGATAGAGTTGGACGTCATCTGCATACAGACGGCATCGAATTCCAAAACTCCGTATGATCTTACCCAGTGGCTTCATGTAGATGTTAAACAACATTGGGGACAATACTGAGCCCTGCAGGACGCCACAGGACATTGGCTGTGGGGCTGAGCAGGAGTCCCCCAGCAACACCTTTGTTAATCTTATGTTTATGTTGTTTACTCTGTACGTATTGATGATGTTACTTGGAAATCGCTCAGGGAGATGGAGCAGTATATAAATAAAGTTTGTATTATTGTTCTGATCCGTTTTGCAGCAGCCCGCTCCTCCGTATGAGCCCCCAGCCTCAGCTCCAACGGCTCCTCCCGTGACGCCAGCGCCTGTGTTGCAGCCAGCCAAGAAGCTCAGCCCCACGGAGCCCAGAAACTATGGCTCTTATGGCACTCAGGTAACAAGAATAATAGAAATAATCAAGTTGGAGCGGCCCCAAAGGGACATCCAATCCAACCCCCCCCCCAAATCTCATTTGATTGTGAGAATGCACAATCAAAGCCCTCCCAACAGATGGCCATCCAGCCAGAGGACTCCCAGGCAGCATATTTCATGACTGAACAGCTCTTACTGTCAGGAAGTTCTTCTTAATGTTTAGGGGGACTCTCTTTTCCTGGAGTTGAACACAGCATTATTCCAGGTGAGGTCTAACCAAAGCAAAATAAAGTGGGGCCATGGCTTCCCTCGATCTCAACACATATTCCTATCAATGCAGCTTGAAATCGCATTTGCCTTTTTTAATAATAATAATAATAATAATAATAGAAGCACAGTGGAAGCCTCAAGACAGGGTACAGCATAAAATTATTATTATCATTATTATTATTATTATTATTATTATTATTAAATATTATTATTATTATTATTATTATTAATAATAATAATAATAGAAGCACAGCAGAAGCCTCAAGACAGGGTACAGCATAACATTATTATTAGTATTATTATTATATTAGTGAAATAATAATAATAATAATAATAATAATAGAAGCACAGTGGAAGCCTCAAGACAGGGTACAGCATAAAATTATTATTATTATATATTAGTGAAATAATAATAATAATAACAACAACAACAATAGAAGCACAGTGGAAGCCTCAAGACAGTACAGCATAAAATGATGATGATGATGATGATTTTATATTAGTGAAATAATAATAATATTAATAGAAGCACTGTGGAAGCCTCAAGACAGGTTACAGCATAAAATTATTATTATTACTATTATTATTATTATTATTATTATTATATTGTTATGCTGTACCCTGTCTTGAAGCTTCTACTGTGCTTCTATTACTATTATTATTATTATTATTTCACTAATATATAATAATAATAATTATAATAATCATAATAATAATAGTAACCTCAAGACAGGATACAGCATAAAATTGTTATTATTATTATATTAGTGAAATAATAATAATAATAATAATAATAATAATAATAATAGAAGCACAGTGGAAGCCTCAAGACAGGGTACAGCATAAAATTATTATTATTACTATTATTATTATTATATTAGTGAAATAATAATAATAATAATAATAATAATAATAATAATAATAATAGAAGCACAGTGGAAGCCTCAAGACAGGGTACAGCATAAAATTATTATTATTATTATACATTAGTGAAATAATAATAATAATAATAGAAGCATAGTGGAAGCCTCAAGACAGGGTACAGCATAAAATTATTATTATTATTATTATTATTATTATTATATATTAATGAAATAATAAAATAATAATAGTAGTAGTAGCAGAAGCCTCAAGACAGGGTACAGCATAAAATTATTATTATTATTATTTTATATTAGTGAAATAATAATAATAATAATAATAATAATAATATTAGCACAATGGAAGCCTCAAGACAGGGTATAGCATAAAATTATTATTATTATTATTTCACTAATATAAAATACTAAGAAATTATAATATTAACAATGACAATAATAACATATTATTATGAAATAAATAAATTATTTTTATTGTTGTTGTTGAACCACAGTACAATCCTCAAGGCTGCCACATCCCAGTGTTGGCTCATGTTCTAGTTGGGGTCTGCTAAATAATAATCATAATAACGCTTCCAAAATAATAATTATAATAACACTTTATCTCTATTCCGTTCTTCTCCCCGAGGGGACTCAGAGCAGATTACACCATTTAAACAGACACAGGCAAACATTCAATGCCTTGTTACAATAAAATACACAGAAACACAAATACACAGACAAAGGCAAAGGCTTCTCCTTTCATTTCCGGCTCTGGAGGCGATGCTCATCCCCATTTCCAAGCCAAGGAGCCTGCATTGTCCTTAGACACCTCCCGGTCATGTGGCTGGCATGACCTCATGGAGCATCTTTTTGCCTTTTCCCTCTGAGGCAGTACCTATTGATCTACTCACATTTGCATGTTTTTGAACTGCTAGGTTGGCAGGAGCTGGGTTTAAGAACAGAAGCTCACCCCGACCTACAGATTTGAAGTGCCAACCTTCAGGTCAACGAGTTCAGTGGCTCAACAGTTTATTGATCTACTCACATTTGCATTTTTTTTTGAACTGCTGGGTTGGCAGGAGCTGGTGCTAACAGCGGGAGCTCACCCCGTCCTGTGGATTCAAACTGCCGACCTTCATGTCAGCAGTTCAGCAGCACAAGGGATTAACCCATTGCATTGCCCGCGGCCTCAGACTCCCAGATCCCTTTCTCAAGGAGTATTTTCAAGCCAGATGTCCCTCATCCTATATATGTGTGTTTCGTGTGTATTGCCTTTCTATTAGGACTCGACAGCGGCCGCCACGGCTGAACTCTTGAAGCGCCAGGAAGAGCTGAACCGCAAAGCAGAGGAGTTGGACAGGAGGGAGCGAGAACTACAGAATGCCGCTTTGAGTGGTGGAGCAGGTACAGTGGCAAGGGCCACAATAATAATAATAATAATAATAATAATAATAATAATAATAATAAGGCATGGGCAATCCATGGTTCTAAATGGTTCTAAAGTACTTACAAAACCAGAGAGTGCCGATGCTTTGCTTCTAAAGTGTTGCTAAAGCTGGTGCTTTGCTTCTAAAGCTGTTGCTAAAGTTCTGGTGGTGAAAAT